CCAAGCACATTGACCTTCTTTCAGGGAAGGCTGGGTCTTGCTGCCAAGTAATACCACCCAGTGAAAGCTTCTCATGAACAGGAAGGGTGCCCAGATGCTGGGAAGCCTTTGAAAAATGAACAGCTTTCCTATGTCCCTTAAGACATTTGTAAAATTGGCACATGATTACAGAGTACCTTTCTTATTGATTTGTTGGGAGAATTTGATAACAGTGCTTCACACAGACTAAACATCAGATGAATTTCAGCTATTCTTACTAATTTTGAATTTTCTGTGCCCATGTTCTTGTTCGCTGAAGAGAAATGAGAAGACAGAATAATGTAGCTTTGGGATATGGTGCTTACCTAGAAGTATTAAATTCAATCTGAGGAGAGAGAGAGAGAGAGAGAGAGAGAGAGAGAGGAACTAGCCAGAATAAGGGGCTAAACTAAAAAGTACCAAGAGAGAACTAGCCAGAATAAGGGGCTAAACTAAAAAGTCCCTCAAATTTCAGTAGATTATCTTTTGTTCTCTTCATGTTCAATAAGACATTTTGGGAATGGAATTAAATCCTCAATCCATGCAGGAACTAAGTCTCCTTCTATTTATGGCTTTACCAACATCTTGCATTTTACTGGGAAAACAGGTGAGAGGAAACAAAACAAGAGATTGGCGTCTTATAGGGACCAAGCCTGGAAGAGGTACTCATCACTTCTACCATTGTCAAAATTGTATATTGTATCTCATGGAGAGAGAGGGAGAGAGGGAAGGAGGAAGGGAGGAAAGGAGGGAGTAAGAGTGGACGAGGAAGAGAGGAGGAGAGGGGGAAAGAAAGGGAGAAGAAGAGAGACCGGAGACTGAACCCAGGGCTCATGCGATACATGCTAAGCACGCATCTTACCACTAAGCTACATCCCCAGCCTCATGGACTGCACTTAATTATAAGCCAATCTACAGAATAATATTCAGCTATGTGTAAGAGGAAGTGGAAACAGTCTGGTTAATAATCTTGGTAGTCTATATCACCTAACATCATCAGGGAGTTACAAAATCATGCAGAAATGCAAATGCGAAAATGCTATGAAAAGTTATGATGATGCTGGTGGTGATGACCCACTGGGGAGTTCCTGTGTATCTTTTTAAGTGTGATAAAAGGAGCAATTTTGATGCTGGGCATGGTGGTGCATACCTTTAGCACCAGTACCGAGGAGGCAGCAGCAGGCAGATCTCTGTGAGATCAAGGCTAGCCTGGTCTACATAGGGAATGCCAGGCTGGCTGGAGCTACAGGGAGATACTGTCTCAAAAGAGCCCCCCCCCCAAAAAAAAACTAGAAATTCAGGTATTACAAGAAACTGAAAATCATCAGGTCTTCCCTCCTCTAGAAGATAATCTTGAAGTAATAAGGCTTTATCATTTCACCTGTACCTTCAAATACAAGCAATCTTAGGTAAATCTTTCTTTGCTCATTGGCCTAAACCAAAATGAGGATGTGAAGGAACTTTTTGGAGAAAAATTAGGGGAAAAATAAAAGAGGAGAAAGCCATCACTTTTCAGAGTTCAACTGCTAGAGCAGGAGACAGCCTAAAGCAATCACTTGTGGTCACCATCCTCTACCGCAGTAATTTATCACCATATGAGGATGGTGGGGGAGTCAATCATAGTGCTGACACACGTAATAACTCCAGACACAAGACTCAGCATAAAAGTTCACACTTAGAAGATGAAGATAATTAGAACACGTATTTGAAATACACCGTAAAAAGGGAGGGTCATCACTATGGTCACAACCACAGCTGTGGTCCTCCTTCCATATCCAGCATCAGGTGAATGCCAGGTTTGTAATCTACTGAACCCCTTGGAAGATAAATGTCTCTAAGAACACTGTGTTGTACCAGATAGATGCCTTCAACACTGTTTAAGTCTCCGCATGGCCTGTCATGAAACACAAAAACAAACACAATTCACGCAGGCCTTGATTCATGAACACAGTTAGTGTTTCCGGAATGCACTGAGACTTGCCACCTGCAGCTCATTAAAGGGTTGGGGCCTGACCTGATTCATCTTTCTGCCCACGAGTAATTCGCTTTCTTATCCTATGCCTGGTGGGTGAATCTGGTCTGTCTTGGATTTCTTTTGGACCAAGGAATATTCAACCCGTTCAACCACAACCTGATTGAAGTGAATGTGGTTAGCAGCCCACCACAACCTTTGATTTTAAATGGCTTCTCACTCTAAGTTGTTTACTTAAAAAAGCGGTCAAGCAAGTCACTGGAACAGAACGATCAAACAATCAGTTAGTTCTTGGACTAATTCAAATCTCTAGGGAGGATTTAATGACAGTTCTAAAGAACTGAACCTCCGATGCAGAGAGGTAGAGACTGAGGCAGAAAATGCAAGGAAGAACAGAAAACAATGGCCAGAATAAAGATCTCTTCATTGAAATATAGAAACAATATCAAGAATTGCCCGCATAATTATGGCAAGTCTTTTCTTTTGCAATGTGGATTCCTGGCAGGATGTGAGAGAAGCTGAATTCCACTGTCCCAGTTTTTCAAACTAAGGAAATAAAATATTTCCCAAACTTTCAACTCCTCCTATCCAAGTACTCCCAGGCTTCTACTTCTGAAGGGTAGCCTAAGTTTTAAGAAGAATACACCGAAAGAGGGTATAGATAAGCTTCATTGTATTTTATTTTAGCTTTGTAAAGTGGGTTCTTAATTCCCATTTTGTCAACAGTACACCTCAGGACACTTTACATACTTCTTGGTGGGTTATTGTTGGGGTTTTTGTTTTGTTTTGTTTTGTTTTGTTTTTGCTGCTATTTTGACTGTGGCTTTTTTTTTTTTTTTTTTTGACAGAGCCTCACTGCATAGCCCAGACTGGCCTGGCAATGTGTCTAGCTATCTTAGCCTCCTAAGTGGTAGGATTACAGGTCTACACCACCATGCCCACTTTAATATACTCTTCATCACAAAAAAAAAAAAATAGCATTTGTTTTAAATTACTTTTGTTCTCTGACAATTTCATACATGTATATAACTCATTCTGATTGCTCTCTTCCCACACCCTTGCTTATCTCCCATTTCTATCAGCACCCCCACCAGTTCCTTTCGCAGATTCATGACTTTTGGTTTGGTTTTGTGATCCATTTGGTTTAGCCAGGGCCATCTGTGGGACCACTGGATTGAAACTATCCACTGGAACCTGAACTATACCAGTCTTAACTGTTCCATGTCAGGAACTTCAAAAAGAAAGAAAGCTAAAATAAATAAATAAATAAATAAATAAATAAATAAATAATATTATCAGGTCAGTATGGCCAACTTCCTGCCTTCCCTCCCTGTATTTCCTGACAGCTAGTTGACATGAGTAATAGCAAGGCAATGTGTCTAGTAAGAACTCCGGGTGCAATACAGTTTCTTTTTTCCTGGGCTTGATTTGTATTCTGTGCTGACACTATCCTGGAGATTGCTACTTGAAGCACAGACAGCAGAAATGGTTGTACTGATAAGAGTGGACTGAATATCAGCTAACAAATGTGTTTCCCCTTCTGATATTACAGATGACACAGTATATACAACAGAATGATGCTGTGTTACTATGCCAGTATGGTGCCTTCTGCAAGTAATCACTTCATTGTACTTTTATAAGCCAAAGTTGGCCAAAATCTGAAATGCCCTCTTTGGTTCTTTTATTACTCACTTGTTCTTGAGACTAAATAACCAGATAAATTCTTAGTTTGTTTATTCACTCATGAATGAGAATTAAAGAAAGGCTGCCTACTTATCATATTCAGGGATCAAGTTACTTACGTGTTACATGCTAAGCATGTATGCATCAGAGTTTTTTCTAAAGAATTTGAATTGTGTGGAAGCCCATACAATCTCATTGTACAGATCTTAAAGGATTTGGTGAAGTTTTAATGACCCCATGGTGTTTTACAATCCTTTGTTTTGTTTTAATTCTGATTTGGGGGGGTAGAAAGAAGTTGATAAAATGGAAATAAAAGCTCTTCATCAGATAAGAAGCCAAACAAACTATAAACCAAAGAATAGGGAAGGACAAATAGACCTTGTCTCAGTGAACCACAAGGCGCCGCCAGGAAAATTCATTTATTTGTTTGAAACTCCCTTCTCACCCTCCAATTAGCCTTCACTGGGTAAAGGTGTCTAGCAGGAATATAACAGGCTCAAGGCCAAAGCTCAGTCTACATTTCCTGTAGATCCTCTGAGTTCCTTAGAGGGAGGGAAAGCTCTCTGCAGTTAGTCGTCTGCCTACCAAGTCTCCAGTGTACCTGCTGGCCACCTCTCTCCAAAACCCAAGACTCTGCCACCTAAGCCTAGGGAGCTAGGAGTTCTGTTTGCACTCTCACTAGCTCCCCCCACCTCTTAGGTGCCTATAGTGCACACCCCGGGCACTGCCAAGTAACTCCTTTTATGGTGAGAGGATAGATTCTTCGTCGTCTCCCCGCCCAAGCCTGGTACCTACCCACTCGTCAGCCCACATGTCTGCCCGGTGACCCACCCAGTGGAAGCTCCGGCGTACACACCCACCCACAACCGCACACCAATTTCTCCTTGCATCTCTGCCCCTCCCAGGTAGAGTCCTAAAGTAATGACCCGGTCATCCCAAGACCCACATGCTCGGTCCGCGGGTGGACGGTGCGAGAAATAGCCCACTGTAATCCGCAGAGGTCGGAGAGAGGAGACATTGCTCCCAGCATCGCCCCCACTGGAAGTCCAGTTCAGGAGTGACCAAGAGTGTGCCCGGATAAGCAGCGGAGCTTCCCGGGGCTCCGCCCAGGCGCTCTCGGTACATCCGAGGGCAGTGAAGCCACTGGAGGCGGGTGGCACCCGCGCAGGTCCCTCCGACTTCCACCCGCCCCCCACCCTTCCTCACCCCTCCTCCCGCAGTGTTAGCGGAAGACTCGCTCCGCCTCCTTCCAAGCCAGCCAATAGGTACCCGGGCCGCGCACTGTCTGTCTCCGCCCCCTCCAGAGAAACTTGAAGGTGGAGAAAAGTTTGTTCAGAGGCTGGAAGGGCGAGAGCTGAGCTCGAAATCCGGCCGCGGGAGAGGAAGATGAACAGCCCCAGGTCAGAGCCCCAGGCCCAGTGGACCCCCAGCCGCCCCCAGAGCACCAGGAGCGGCCGCAGTGGCAGCCGCCTACTCCGGTAGCCGTCTGTTCAGCCGGCGGCTGGGCAGGAGGGCAGCCGGAGCCGGGACCGACGCTCGGTTCTACCTGCGCGCCTACCGGCACACCTGGACGCTGGCCTCCCCGGGACCAGATCTGCGGGCTCTGCCAAATCGGGACTCGCCTTTGAAAGAAGGAAGAAAGAAATCAAACAAGAAACCCAAGACTAGCCTTCACTGACCCATCCTGTTAGCCTCTCTTGCGCTCCAAGAAAGCGGGACACTGACCCCAGCTGCAACCACCAAGTCTCGGGGGAGCAAAAGTTTGGCAAGGTCCGCACCAAGCGGGAAGAAGCCTAATGGCAGGTTAGAGACGGGTCCAGAACGCCTGAGGCCTGAGCCTTGGGGCTCACCCTGCTACGCACTCCCTACAGGTAAGATAGGGTGGGGGTCATTACATCAACTGCATGGTGGTTGGGCCCTCCATTGGGGAACCAAAGAAGACAGCGCACATTATAAATTGTCATCTATAACTTGGTTTTAGTGAGAATTTTATGGGCTCGGTCGGGAATATCTCAAGCGAGTCACTTTCCCCTTGAGATGGGTCTTGCTCATCTTCGCAATGGAGGGGGAGGCTGGCAGTTATCAGCTTATAAATATTAATGTCGGTAGAGTAGTGCTGTTGGCAGGACGTATCAGGAGCCTGGGGAAATGGTAGTTCGTGTGAGTGGCTACAGTTCAGAAAGTAAGATCCGGTTCCTCACCCTGTTCCCTCGACATACCGTTTCTTGGTCATGGGTCTTACAGCTTTCTAGTGGTACTGGTTCACCGCTCCTTTTCCTCTCTCCCACCATCCGCAGATCCAGCCTTGAACTCCGGAGCTGTACATTGCTGACTACCATCATGTCCATTCCCAGCGTCAACGCGTCTGTCTCCTCCTCTCCGGAGCGGCTCAACAGCCCAGTGACCATCCCTGCGGTCATGTTCATCTTCGGGGTAGTGGGCAATCTGGTGGCCATCGTAGTGCTGTGCAAGTCACGCAAGGAGCAGAAGGAGACCACCTTCTACACACTGGTATGTGGGCTGGCTGTCACCGACCTACTGGGCACGTTGCTGGTGAGTCCGGTGACCATCGCCACATACATGAAGGGCCAGTGGCCCGGGGACCAGGCTCTGTGTGACTACAGCACCTTCATTCTGCTCTTCTTTGGCCTCTCGGGCCTCAGCATCATCTGTGCCATGAGTATTGAGCGCTACCTGGCCATCAACCACGCCTACTTCTACAGCCACTACGTGGACAAGCGGCTGGCGGGCCTCACGCTCTTCGCGGTCTACGCATCTAACGTGCTCTTCTGCGCTCTGCCCAACATGGGCCTCGGCCGCTCGGAGCGGCAGTACCCCGGCACCTGGTGCTTCATCGACTGGACCACCAACGTGACTGCTTACGCTGCCTTCTCCTACATGTACGCTGGCTTCAGCTCCTTCCTCATTCTCGCCACCGTGCTCTGCAACGTGCTGGTGTGCGGCGCGCTGCTCCGCATGCACCGCCAGTTCATGCGCCGCACCTCGTTGGGTACCGAGCAGCACCACGCGGCTGCCGCGGCTGCTGTGGCCTCCACGTCCTGTCGGGGCCACGCGGCCGCCTCCCCAGCCCTGCCGCGCCTCAGCGACTTTCGCCGTCGCCGGAGCTTCCGCCGCATCGCGGGCGCGGAGATCCAGATGGTCATCTTACTCATCGCCACCTCGCTGGTGGTGCTCATCTGCTCCATCCCTCTCGTGGTGAGTGTCCCGGGCTGGGGCCAACAGGGTCTTTCTCCCGAATCCATCCCTCTCCTTCTGCTCCCTCCTAATTCCTTGATGGAGACTGATTCTCCTCCGGGTCCTGGCTGGGACCTGCCCAAAAGGCTTCTCAGAACAGATTCAGCTACTCTCTTAGTCCTGACCCTAAGGAGACTGAGCAGGTGGTTTTCCCCTAGGTTCCCCGAAACTCTGGGTTCTGCGCTCTCCTGGGACTACCTCTGAGCTCCCCTTTCTGCCCGGCATTTGATTGGAATCTTCCTAGAACACCAACACCTGACTGGGTCAGACTCTCAGGGGGAACTCACCATAGGGCTACTGGTCCCATCCTCCCACAGTGTGGGCTTCAGAGCCGGCAAACCAGGGGTGCTGAGCTCTGTAGAAACCTTTCCCTAGCAGAATGCCGGTTTGGGTGTTGATTTCTTTGGACTTCTCTTTTTCATATATTATGTAGCATTTTAGAGCTAGAATGTGAGATGATTTTTGGTTTCGCCTGACTTCTTCACTTAGGAAGACTAGAGAGTGACTTGCTTAGAATAAGCTTTGCAGAACTGACACTGTGAAGCAGGTTCCTGTCCTCCCCCCTCCCCCACCAAGTCTGAGAGGACATTTTAATGCTCAAGAATTATAACTGGCACAGAGTGAGGCCCAAATTCAGATGTCTTGTTCTTTCTGCAGACTAAGAAAGCAAGATTTGGGGTGGAGGGAATTATTACCGACATGCTGACCTACACGGTATTGAGTGGGAATTCTCAAGAACCAGAAATATGTACAACTTCTCCTCAATGGAGGAAAAACTGAGGTTTAGAGATAACTCTTATTTATGTCCAAGCCCTACCTTCCTATGGCCCTTAGGGCACAGACTCCTGTTGTATTACAGTCTGTTACCTAGACTTCTAATTTGGCCTTTGTAGAGTGTCTATTGGTGCTCTGATACACTATGTCTTTGGAGAAACATGCTCTTTAAATTTGTCTTTTAATAATGTTTAGAATATTATAAACAGAGGGGTTCAAATGGCCCCTAAGTTCCCTCATTTGCCCATTATTAACAGAGGATGCAGCAGAAACAGATGAGTGGCTGAACCTCTTCCTCTAGAATTTACCCTGAAAGCAACTAGTTCTGAGCTCTTCTAGGACTCAGAATATTTCACGCCTGGAAATTCTAAACTACTTACTCAAAAAGAAATTACTGCTCTATCTATCCATACTGGGAACAAGAGAAAATGAATGTAATGGGCTATTATTATTTTCTTTCTCTTATTAATACTGTCCAGGTATCTTTGATGTAAAAATAATTTATCTCGGATACAAAGTGACTGTAAATGGAAGAAACCTAGTGGTGGCTGAAAGCCAAGAAACAGTAGCTTCTTACCCATTTGTATAAGCAGAAGTAAATATGATTGGTCAGAAGAACCTTAAGTCATCTCAGGACCTCATGTAATTTAGAGTTAAGATGCCCTTGAGTCACATAAATATATTTTACTGTCTGTAGTGGCAACTAGGAATAAAGTGAAATTTGGAAAGCAAGGACTCTGTTCCTGCTGAGGCTTCTGGTTTCTGTGGTATGTTTTTCGGAACAGCAAATAGCAAAGTGAGTAGCTGTTATTTAAAGGACGTCCACTTTAAGGAACTGAGGGTTTGGAGCTAGGAGATTAGTTACCATGCACATACTTTCTGAATGTTTTGGTTGGGGGTGGTCATGTGATTCCCATGCAGCCACAAATAAAGTGTCTCTGTCATACAAACCTAATTCATCCTATGGGCAGAAGTGGGAGACCTGGCCCTCTGATTCAAGGTCATTTATGACAAAGCCTGAAATGATGTGAGGACCTAGGGGCAGTAAATTGTTGGAGCCGTATTTATGGCTGACATATTAATCACATTGTAGCTAATGAAAGCTATAGTCCAGTCTGAAGAAAGTCAGTAACAAGCAGTGTTAAGTAATTGCTATGTGAAAACTGAAACTGACTCAGCTAAGAGAGCATGTTGGTCAAGAGCCTGAACGCTTTTGTGAGAAATAGGGAATCAAATAAATAGAAGTGGCTTTAGTTTTCAGCATTTAGTCAGGGCTAATAAAGTCTACTTTCAGAACCAGTTTAAGTGAAAATTAGCAATAAGTAATGGGGATATTATAGAACTCATCTACAATCTAAAATTACTGAAAGAATCAAGAGAAACTTTCGCAGTTATAGTCTCTCTCTATAGAGTTTCTGAAAGCTCTTCAACATACAAGTAGTTGGCCCTATTTTCAGTTCACAGGGAACTGAGAAAGCATTTAGTTCAACTTTATCAAATAAAATTGATTACTAGTTCCACTGGAGGGAAATCAAGCCCTTTGAATCATTTTAATTGCTTTAGGCAGACTACCTGGCAGGGCAAATACGGCTTACTTGGCATTTCATTCTTCATTGCTGGACACAATGTAGAGAGATGACAGGGAGCCACAGTGTTTGTCCCTTTGGACCATTGAGAAGAAGAGGCTTTTATAGGGTGGTTGATAATAAATATAGCATGGTAAGTAAATTTTAATATGCTATGTAAAATGGATGTCTCAAATAGAGCTGAACTTGGAAAAGAAAACTGGGACAGGTTGGGAAATTTATGAATATAAGGAATGTGCTAAACCTGCAAAATTCTCTAATTGGGTCATAATCAATGAAGAGAGAAAAATGTTCAAGTATGCTCTATAGGGAATATCACAGCATTTGATAGCAAGGTGATTCTTATCAACTTGTCTATTCTGCTGTTTTTAAAATACAGAAGGAGCTTAAGAAATGAAAAAGTATGCTTATGATAAATATCTTGCATTCTTTAGAAATATGCAAGCAAAACAACCTCCTAAGGTCCTGCATTAGATGCTATAGCTAGATCAATTTCTGATGCCTAATTTCACAGTCACAATACTAATGTTAAGAATACAACTGTGATCAAATTTTCTATCTCAGGGCTAAACAGCTATAAGATTCAGAAAGGCATTTTCCTCCATGCAAGGCAAGCCAGGGTCATATTTATTGCTTTTTTTATTTGTTTCTTTCCTTTCTTCTTGCTCTGAACTAACAAGAGTGGAATGTCAAATTTGATTAATTTTCTGCCTTGGTTAGGTAAATTTTAAGTCCTTAGGAAAATAGCTTCCTGTGTTTATTTGGTCGCTTACTATAAACAAGTTGTCTCTATAAAGGCACCACCAACAGCAAAAAGTTGATAAAAGCAGATGAAAACTATAAACAGGAACACTTTTTATTGAAGGCCAAGTGGAAGTGGCTCCATTAAATGATGGAAATATAAACTACATCTATAGATAAAAGTAATACAATACATTTAGGTATTACTACAGCAGAATCACAGATTTGATTGCTTTTCTAATAAATGTGACTAAGTTTTAAAAAAACAGCAATTCCTAGAAGCAATGTTTGAGTCATAGCATGAAATGGTCGGCCTGGTGGAAGAACTTTGATAACTTCAAAATAGCACATAGAAGCAAGGTATTGCCAAATCCAGCCTCTCATCTGAATGCAAGTCATCTCATGTTTTCACCCCTGAACACCTTGGCCTCCCCAGCTACTGATGAAGAATTGCAGGATGAGGCCCACTCTAATGCTCTTTGTACCATCTTTGCTGATGGCTCAAGTCTTGGTTTTATTGAACATGTACTAACAAGGCCTTTTTCCCCTTAGATTGAATTTATTCTTGAAGTTTCCTAGTAGAATGTTGAAGCTGAGAACCAGAACAATAAATAAATAAATAAATCCATAATGTAGCTATTAACCAATAGAGATTGAGTACCTTGCATGTAGCAAGTGGCCAGTTAGTGATCCAGAAGGAATAAGAAATGTGGTCTCTCATACCACCACTCAGCTAAGAACATTTTCCATGATCTTTTTTTTAAAAAGTAGTAAGAACATCTAATAACAGCTGTGTCAATTTTGGACTCTTCACAAGGCAGCGAGATAACTGAGCACACATAGATAATTCCTTGCATGTGCTTGGAACAGAACAAGTAGTATGTATGCTCAAATCCAGTTACAGACCTTGTCATTTATTAGAAAGCATTTCAATTTTGACAGTTATTAATTTGCTCTAGTCAAGAGTTAACATTCTTTTTTTCAATTCATCATTCTCTTCAAACAGTAGGAAGTATAAGATTTTAATACTTTACCATTAGCCATACCCCAAAGCTACATTCTACCTGAAGTTGGTATAGTACACAGAGGCCAAGTTTCCATATATGGGCTAAAAGGAAAGTAATAAGAGACAATACAGATGTTAAGTCCTAGGCACTGTACTAAACACTTGAAGGACTTACACATAAATGGTAAGGTGCTCATCCAGAAAATGAAGAGGTTTAACAAAACTTGGGCAGTTACTACTACTACTACATAGATCCTCCTGGTAACTTTCCTGCCATCATACCTTCTAGTGACTTTATTGAATCCTGTCCAAGTTCTGTTCTAGTGCTCTTGAACCTAATGTCTAATCAGTCTTAAGGAGTTTAGAATCTTGTAATCTATGTGAACATTAGCAACAAGTCACATTCACAAAATTTGCAGTTACTCATCTTCAAGAGTAAAAGGAAGTTAGAAGTGCTGTTTGTGTTTAGTGAACTTTTTAGAATTTTTCTCCTCTCTGACTCAGAGGTTCTGTTTTATCAGTAGCACACGCTTCCAAAACTGAAAACTGCCTGAACTTGTTTATTTGTGTAACCATACAGGGCCTGCTGGGGAAGACGCAGAAGTGTTCCCACCTCCCTACATGACACCTAAGTACGGCCGTGGGTATTCCCATCTTACCCTCATTTCCCACCCTTCAGGAGGGGTTAGCAAGTAGCCTTTAAAGGGAAGCAGAAGTTGCTATATTTATTCAAATGCTATAAAACACCCGAATTTTTGTCTTTTTCCTTTCTCTATTTGAAATAAACCTCCAGTGAGAATATAATGCAAAGTAAAACTCATTCATATTGATTCTTTTCAAATAATTTGATCAACTTGAGAATTGTTTTGCCTGAATTTAGAATCTGGCAAATCCTACAGTGCTGGGGATTAAACCTTAGGCTTTGTGCTAGCTTGGCAAGTACTCTCACTGAACCAGAGCAGAATCTTGTTTCGTATTCATCTATATGATCCCCCTATGAACTGTCCTTTGCTGAAAGACACCAACAGACCCAGTTCAGTGGCCTGTGGTAACTGAAGCCCCTCGATACCCCCATGGAACTCCAAAATAAATTATTTTTTTGAGACAGAGTCTCGCTCTGTAGCCCTGGCTGGTTTGGAACTTGCTATGAAGACCAAGAAGGCCTGGAACTCACAGAGATCTACCTGTTCTGCTTCCCAAGTGCTAGGATTAAAGGCATGTGCCACCTCGCCCAGCCTCTAAAATAGAACTTTAAAAAAAACTTACAGCTTCTTTTCATGCTATCCTATAGTGGTAAAATTTACTTACTACTGTGAATCAACTAAAATAGAACTTTAAAAAAAAACTTACAGCTTCTTTTCATGCTATCCTATAGTGGTAAAATTTACTTACTACTGTGAATCAAGTGAAATACAAAGGCGATTTTTTTTTTCCTAGCTTCTTGCCACTTTTGATTATAAAAACCTATGGATTTTTTAAAGTACACAGGAATTTAAAAACAGGATTTTTTTTACAGGTCACAGGAATTTAAAAACAAAATGCTAGCTCCTCATGCATTCCTTTAAATAGCTACAAATTTCATTGTTTTAAACTGTTCAAAAATTTTCCTTTCAGTGGTAACCATGTTTCTTTTGAATTTGTGGTGGAGAACCAACCAGCAGCAAAACATGTTAATGTTAATGTTAAAAAAAAAATCTCTGAAATTCAAAGTTCAAATTTAACCAAGATTCCAGTCTGAAAGAATCTTGGAAATGGCTGTGCAAAATGCATCCTGGAGAGGGTCTTGGTACTGGAGACTTCTGACTAGAGCAACACTGCCCCCTAAAGGCTTGACTGTCAAGTTCACACAAACCCTGCCTCGGATAGGGCTGGCTTGCTTTAAGGTTTAAGTCCATCATTTCTTTTATCTTTAGAAACAATGTAAAGTGTGAGCAAAATAAAGACTTCATGTTTTTTACTGATAACCCTAATATTGAGAAATAAATCTTGGGGCTGGAGAGATGGCTCAGTGGTTAAGAGCACTTACTGCTCTTGCTGAGGACTCAGGTTCGATTCCTAGCACCCACCTGGTGGCTAACACCCATCCCTATCTCCAGTTCCAAGGAATCTGGCGCCCTCTTCTGACTTCCGCAGGCACTGCGTGATATGGGTACACTTACATACATGCAGGTAGTAACTCATACACATAAAATAAAATAATAAAACACTTTTTTTTTTTTTTGTCTTTTTGAGACAGGGTGTCCTTGTAGCCCCAGCTGTCCTGGAACTCACTATGTAGAACAGGCTGGCCTTGAACTCACAAAAACCCACCTGCTTCTGCCTCCCAAGTGCTGGGATTAAAGGTGTGCACCACCACGCCTGGCAATAAAATACTTTTTTGAAAAAAAGAGAAATAACTCAAACATAAGTCTATACTGGTAGAACAAAAGCAACAACATGAAATTCATCTGCACTTGGGGCCCAAACGGACTTTATTATGAATAGGATGGGATGGCTTGAAAAGCTTCTCAACACGTTCAGGTCTCTAGTTTATGCCTGTTAATTCCAGCACTTGGGAAGGTGAGGCAGGACAATGGCCAAGGGCTTGAGGCCAGCCTGGGTAAAGAATGAGACCCTGTCTCAAACAAACACTCACACCTTCCAGGTTCTAGTAATGAATACCTCATCTGAGAAAAGATGGAGGACCTTGCTCAGCTACCATACATCACTAAGGATCTCAGTAAAGAATCTGGAAGAAACCAACATGCTTTGTTTGTGTGCTTGTGAAACCTAGCTGTGTGCATACTTGACAAGAGCTGTGCTACTTGGCAACATCCTCAGCTCAGGTTTTTAGGAGTGTTTATGAAGATTTTGCTTAATTATGCTTTGTCTTGATATTATCACTTATCCCAGCAGAGTTTCTAAAAACATAAGACCTCATATGCTATTTATTTTTCTTCATTTTACTTAGCTGTCTTTGAAAGATGAAGGTGTTAATTTCACCTTAGTTAGGGCCATTTGACCATTTTACTCTATGACACTTATAAGTCCATAAAATAGCATTTTATCATGAGTTCACTGTTATCTAAGCAGAAATTTCATGTAAGTTGAATGTTGTAAATTAATGAAAATTACTTCTTTTGAAATTTTAAACCTTCTTTTATCCAAATTTCATTTTTTTTAAACTATACTTGCCCTTTCCTGGTGGTCCACATAGCTTGAGTTATTACTACACTGTGTGACAATACAGTGGAGGCCTCAAGTCTTGTTAGTTAGAAGTGTTCGATTTTAATTGATAAGGCTCCAGTATGCTTTTGTGATTTGTTCTTTCTTGTTTTTTGTTTGTTTGTTTGTTTTGTTTTGTTTTAATTCCTCTTCCTTGGCTATGAGATCCACTTCTTATTTCTTCTTTACCTAAAATAATTCTCACAAGCAAATATGATTATAAAGAACAAATCACAATGACCTCAAAGTCTCATTTTACATTGTTATAATTTTATCAAATTATCCTAGAGTAATTAAAAGCTAGATCTAGGAAAATTAACACTTTAAGAATAAATTTGAAGCCAGGTGTAGTGGCGCACACCTTTGATCCCAGCACTCAGGAGGCAGAGGCAGGTGGATCTCTTGTGAGTTCAAGGCCAGCCTGGTCTACATAGAGAGTTCCAGGACAGCTGGGGCTACAGGGAGACCCTGTCTCAAAAAGACCAAAAAAGAAAAGAAAAAAGAAAAGAAAAATTTGAGAGATTTGATGAACAAGTGCTTTTTCTCTTCTAAGGAATGATAGTCTTCTGTCTTCCCTTCAACTTACAGCATGTCTTGCCTTCTTCAATAAATCATTTGACTTTCCTAGAAACTACAGAGTATCTTTTCTTTCTTCCTTGACTTCGCACATGTAGTTCTCCCTCGTGAAACTGTACTCCTTCCTTGGAAACTTAATAAACTCCCACTCATCCAACAAAACACAGTGCTGCTTCTTGTCCAGAAAGGGTTTTCCTATGCCTGCCCTCCAGGAGTGGCTGTACCCTGTATGTTTCTTTCAATCACTGTGCAGTGATAGTGGATCTGCTTTTCTGTTCCCTGTAGTACATACACTATCCTCTGCCTCCAAGAGGTTTAGGGCATCTAATACAACTTTTTGTTCCCAGAAACTATCTTGATGCCTCAAACATAGTAAGTGCTAATTATTAAATGCTGAGATATATGAAAGAATATTTTTCAGTCAGTAAATGATTAGAACTTTATTCAACTGCGCAAATTAAGATTCCAAAATAACAAAGAGGTTGCTAGCATGTTCTTGTATTATCTCTATTTATATCACAACTGGCATATGGTGCTGACAGACATGGCTCTAGCCTTAAAAGCTTACGCTGCATCAAAATGAGTTGACACTCTGCCTGCCATATTTGTGCATTGGTCTAGGAGCACTTGACAACTGATTGGCTAAAAAGCTTTAGAAGCACAAAAGGGGGGTTGGTTCTAAATGGAGTTGTGAGATGGAGTCACTCAATGGCAGTTGAACCCTACCTTGAAGATGCACAAAACTAGAGCTGTGGAAAGTTTTAGAAGTTGGGCATTGCAATCAGACATACTTTAGAAATAATCTTCTAGGGCAATGTGGAGAATGGATTGGAGAGAAGAGGAGCTGCAGGTGAAATGCTATTTTGGTGGTTGCTATAATATAATCTCAGATGAGAAATGCTGTTGAGGAAAATGATTGGTGAAGAGTTTGGGTTCAAGGAATAGTACCACTAGATCATTATTATAGTGGGGATAAAAGCCAGAGAGAAAATAAAAACTGAGCTTGCCATTCTGGATGACAAGAGAGGCTGGTGCTAGTTCACAAGTACAAAGCATTTTTTTCTGTACTGCAAAACAAAGGCATAGGAACCTCAGCTTTCTGTAATGATTACATGGATGACTTATGAAATGATTATGGTTTAAAATACATAAACTGGCTTACTGTGTTCGGTGCTCTTCTTGCAAAGCACTTATTACCACATAAGCAGCTACCTGGCGATGCAACAGTAAACACAGCACTTAAGTGCTCTGCCAAACTGTTTAAGTATAAAATCTTACTGTGGGCTTCTCCTTTATGCAGGTGCGAGTGTTCATCAACCAGTTGTATCAGCCAAGTGTGGTGAAAGACATCAGCAGAAACCCAGATTTGCAGGCCATCCGAATTGCTTCCGTGAACCCCATCCTGGACCCTTGGATATACATCCTTCTGCGGAAGACGGTGCTCAGTAAAGCGATAGAGAAGATCAAGTGCCTCTTCTGCCGCATTGGCGGGTCCCGCAGAGACCGGTCCACACCACACTGCTCTGAGAGTAGGAGGACGTCATCTCCCATGTCCAACCACTCTCGCTCCTTCATCTCCCGGGAGCTGAAGGAGATCAGCAGCACGTCTCAGACCCTCCTCTATCTGCCAGACCTAAGTGAAAACAGCCTTGGAGGCAGGAATTTGCTTCCAGGTGTGCCTGGCACAGGACTGACCCAAGTAGATACCACCTCATTGAGAACTTTGCGAATATCAGAGACCTCGGACTCCTCCCAGGGCCAGGACTCAGAGAGTGTCCTGTTGGTGAATGAGGTTGGTGGGAGGTGCAGGGATGGGCCTGCCCCTAAGGGAAGCTCTCTGCAAGTCACATTCCCTAGTGAAACGCGGAACTTATCTGAAAAATGTATATAGTAAAGGGGAAAAATGAAGCACTGTTTTTGGAAAGTTATAAAATCCCGTGCAATAGACATGTACGTGTTTAGCTGTGCTCAGAAGGGCTGTCTTCATCCTACACTCGGCTCGTGAGTACTTTTCAAAGGATGGAGATGATTCTGGTGAGTCCGGAGGCCCAAAGCACATAGGCTGCCATTGTGCTGTGAGCCAGGGTTGTCATCACAACTCGATGGCTGAAGAGCCAACCTGTTTTCTACTGGATAGGAAGATGGCAGAAGTCATGCTATTTTCATAACACCAAGAGCTTTGTATTTGACACACACCAGACACCCAAATACTGGAAGGGCTCCATCCCATCCTCTGAGGACTACCTTACAGCTGATTTAAGTCTCACTAAAGCATGAAATGTGAATTTTTATTATTGTAAATATAATTTAAGGTATTTATTTTCTTCTCTGTGAGAAGGTGTATGTTTAATACAAGGTATAATGAAATTATGATAAGCCCTCTCCTGCCAGTAGTAACCAGCTGATATTGCAGATGTTAATATTTTTTCCATAAGCAAGGTCAGGCCAAGGAGTTTAAAATTCAAAAGGAAACTAATATCTATAAAATAGATGTAAATTTTAAAATAAAGTTTAGTATTATCAAAGGAAAAAATATCATTTAAGATGTGAAAATTATAGTCAAAAATATATTTTCCAAACTATCTATAATGAAAAATAACAGTGACATTACATTTATTTATCTAGAAAGCTGTGATTTCAAGAGTATTTAACAATCTGGTAAATACTTTCAACTTTTGTCCTAATTGGTATTTTTAAAAATGTAACATAATTTTTTAAAGTCTCTCATTACCCATAATTGAAGTGTGTAATATAGAAAGTCTAAGCAGCTAGTTTTCTCCTGAAAGTGTGCAGTTTTACCTCGATAGAGAATGTCCTAGAGTATCCTTTAAAGTGGAAGACAACTTGCACCAGAAAGACCTTTATTTGAGATCCTAAAGGCTCTCTGATGTGGTGTCAACTCTTTTCATGGGTGTCAAGAGAACTTGTGCATGTAAGAGTTATCTCTCATAGTTTTGTGTAACATCCAATAATTCTGTACACATATTTGAAGGTTTCTCAAAGAAATATTAAGCATGTTTTGTTGCTTAAAGTGTTCTTGTGAATTGCTTGGTTGTGACTAAGTTCTGAGCCTGATACTGAAATGGTTTTAAGGAGTAATTGTACCAACTGAAATTATTTTGGGATTTCAATAAAGAAATGCATTCAATCTGAGTTCCATAGCCTCAGTTTTAGAACACCTATATGGGTTTGTTTATTTGTTTTTTTGTCCCAGGGCTCGAGGACAACTTCATTAGAGTTTAATAGAAAAATTCCAGCACAGGCAAGCTGTAAATCTCAGCAGTTTCAAATAGGAGGAAGACAGAGAAAAAGTCTTACTGTTTGAGTTAAGCCACATGGAGGTCAGCCCCATGGAGGACTAGCAGCCACATGGCAGGGAAGGAGTTTTAGAGAAAAGTAAGGAAGCCCAAGTATCAGAGAAAGCATAAAGGGCTCTGGCTAACATCTGAAAGAGGGAAAAGGGGGGACAGACCCAACAGAACCTCATGCAGCCCTGGAGTGACTGCACAGAGGGCAAAGATTCTGGGAGAGAAAAGTACATCCTCTCCAGGCAGAGACATGCCTCCCTTTAAGAGTTAATCAGGGGCTGGAGAGATGGATCAGAGGTTAAGAGTAGCAGCTGCTCTTGCAGAGGACCTGGGCTCAGTTCCAAGCACCAACATAGCAGCTAACAACTAACCAGGACCCGTTGCCTTCTTCTGACTTTCACGGGCATTGCACAACACGAGTGCACTTATACATACAGGCAACACACTCAAACACATAAAAATAATATTTTTTTAAAAAATAATTAATCCAGTTGGGGGGGTCAATCACCTGGCCAAGGTACCACCCCTTAGCAAGGTGGATCCACCTTAAGCTATGCTAAAGAGATAAGAGGAATAATTATCCTGTTAAGAGATAAACTGGTTTTTTTTGTTTTACAATAATTTGTTTATTATTAGTTTCAAGAACAGTACAAAGCCTTGAATCTACTTACAGAACTAGAAACCATGGTTTAAAAAAAAAAAGAACAGAATAATGATTCAGTGGTAGACATACTCAAAAGTATCAGTGTCACTAGTTTGTATAGCTAGTGGGAGAGGCAATGTTATGCTTAACTAGCTACATGAACAGTATGCAAATAATTATAACCAACTATTAGCATAAACTTTGCTTCCTATCTGCATTTTCTCTATATCAGTACTTCTGAGACTTTAGGCTGCAAACATCATAATTCTTTTTCTTCTCTTCCTCCCTTCCCTTCCCCTACCTTTATTGTATTTTACTTTTATTTTTGAGACAGGATCTTACTATATAGCCCAGGTTGGCCTCTAACTTCCTAATCTCCAGGCTCAACCTCTGGACAAATGCTGAGATTACACACCGAGCCATACCATCTCTGATTCAGTTAAGTCTGGGGTGTCTACATTTCTGAAGAGTTCCTGGATACTGCTTCTGCTGCCAGCTTTAGGGAACAATTCAAGTAGCAATAATCTCTAGACTTGAGGTCATGACTTTATTATTTGCAAGGTTTTTTTATTTTGTTGTTGCTGTTGCTGTTGTCAGGTATTTTTTGGTCTTTTGGAAACCCGGTCTCCCTGTAGCCCCAGCTGTCCTGGAACTTGCTATGTAGACCAGGCTGACTGTGAACTCACAAGGATCCGCCTGCCTCTGCCTCCCAAGTGCTGGGATTAAAGGCATGTGCCATCACACAGGGCCAAAGATGTTATTTATTTTTACTTTATGTGTATGAATGTTTTGCTTGCATCTATGTAAGTGTACCACTTGCAATGCAATGCCCCTGGAGGCCAGAAGAGGGCACTGAACTCCTGAAATGAAGTTATAGACAATTGTTAGCCGCCTTTATAGACAATTGTTAGCCGCCATTTAGGTGCTGGGAATCAAACCTTGGCAAGAGCAGCCAGAGCTATTAGCCACTGAGCCATCTCATCTCTTCAGCTCTATCTGCAAGGCTTTAAAGATTTTTTTAAATTTTTTTTCTTCTTTAGACACGGTCTCCCTGTAGCCCCAGCTGGCTTGGAACTTACTATATAGACTAGACTAGCCTTGAAATCACAGAGATCCACCCACCTCTGCATCCTGAATGCTGGGATTAAAGTCATGCTTTTTAAAAAATATCTTTATTGTTTTATTTTATGTGTATGTGTGTGACCCTGAGTGTATGTATGTACATACATCATGTTCATGCAAGTGCCCCCAGAGGCCAGAACAGGTATTGGATCCCCTGGAACTGGAGTCACAGATGGTTGAGAAGTATGATATAGGTGCTAGGAACCAAATCCAGTGTGGGAGACACTTCCTCCAGAAGACCTGAGCCATCTCGCCAGTCCCAGATACTTTTAGCTGATGTCAGGAAAACAATGAGTCTTAACTAAGATAAGGAAGGCTCAGGAAAGGAGCATACAACTTAAACTTCTAAAATGTTCTCTGCCTCCATCCTAAAAAATCTCTAAGAAAGGATGGCTTCAGAAAATGTTACTGAGGTCAAGGATTTTGTCTTGCCTCCATAGACATGGGCAACAGAGACAATTCATCCCTATTATATCCCTATATAAATAAATGCATATACATACCCATGTTCCAGAGGAAAACAAAAGCCTCATTCATAACTTAGTACTATTAATACTCAAGATATAATTGCATTAATATACATTTCAGGTTCACTATCCAGAACACTGATTTGGCCTTCATCTTTTTTACTGAAATACTTACATACCATGACTTTTTTTTTTCTTTAAAGTATATATGCTTTGAAATGTTTTAGTATGTTCAACTAAAAAGCTATCACTGATGCTATATCTAATTCCAGAACATTTTCATATTTCTAAAAAGAAACTGCATGCCATTTGCAGTCAATCCCCATTGCCCTGACTCCCAGGGCCTGACAACTAATATGTGTCAAAAGGCTTCTCAGCGTGAACATTTTATACAAGTGAAATAATGTATATATGGCTTTTCATGCTTGCCTTTTCTAAGAATAACATTTTCAGAGTTCACTGATGTTGCAACGTGAATCAGTACTTCATTCCTGTTTATGTCTGAGTAATATCCGTGACATCAACATACTTTTTAAAAATCCATACACCAGTTCATGCACATTGAACTGCTCTTAATTTTCTGGCCATTGTGAATAACACTGCTACAAATATTTCTTGTGTAAATGTTTTTAATTCTTTTGGGCATAAAACTGGTGGTGAAACTGGTGGGACATATAGTAATACTAAGGTCAATATTTTGAGGCAATGGTGGACTGTTTTCCACATGACTGTACTATTTTACATCCCCACCAGTGGTGTTTCAATTAACAACCTTGGCAACATTTATTATTCTATTTTCTTCATTTTAGCCATCCAATGGGTGGGCTTTCCATAGTATGTCCCTAATGACTAATGATATTGAAAATCTATACATACGGTCATTGGCTAGTTGTCCATTCAAGAATTTTGTCCATTTTTAATGTGTTATATTTTTAATCAGCTAAGGCAGCCACAATAATGTACCATAGACTGGGTGGCTTAACCAACAGAAATTTATTTTCTCACACTTCTACTTGCTTGAAGTCCAAGATCAAGGTGATGGCAGGGCTGGTTTCTCTTGAGGCTTCTCTCCTTGGTTACAGATGACAACTTTCTCAATGTGTCCTCACATGGCCTTTCCTACATTTCTATATACATACACATCCCTGTTCTCATTTGTTCTCTCCCTTCCTCCTACCCCCCTCTCATAAAAATGCTAGACATATTGGAGAAGACTTCAATAGGTACTTCCTTAGTTTTATCTCCAAATATAGTCATATTAAGGAATTTGAGCTTCAACATATTAATTTTGTGGATATACAATTCAATTGTTGAATCTGATATATACTTCACATACCAGTCAAAGGAAAAGAATTTCATCACTGTTCACTCATTTATCCCATAGTTATTTATAGTTAACAGCCAGATAGTTAAGACTGTTTTGTTGCTGTTCTTGTTTCTTGCTGTAGACACTTGTTTTAGACCACTTAGCTTCAATTTTTTTCTTTTATTAAAATTTGTTTATGTGTGTGAGTGTTTTAACTGCATATACGTAAGTGTATGTAATGTCATGCACTGCCCACAGAGGCCAGAAGAAGGTATCACATACTCTGGAACTGGAGTTATGAATGTTAGCCACCATGTGGGTGCTGGGAAAGGAACCCAGTTCCTCAGCAAGGGCAGCCAGTGCTTTTAACCACTGAACCATCTCTCCAGCCCCACTTAGTCTCAAACTTTCTATGTAAGAAAATTCTGACTGTCTAACTGGCTGGTATTAACTCCCATCTTGTTCCACTAGGACATAGTAGACAAGCAGGTATTTTTAATGTAACCAAGTGGGTTAAGTTAGAGAAGGAAGTAAGGTGGCTAGTGTTGCTGAAATAAAACTCTAACCAGGAGATATGGAATCAATAGTCCTTTCCCAAATGGCAATTATCCTTTTCCACAAGTTTTCTCTTAGAGAAACACAAAGGGCCATGGGAAAACCCAAGCACAGTAATATTTACGGTTAGCTATGCTTTTTAACCTTTCAAATCTGGTGATTTGAACATGCATGTCCTCCATGAGCTCCAAGTATTTGGACATTTTGCCCCTATTTGATGGCGCTGTTTCAGGAGGTAGGTTTAAAGAGGTGTGGCCTTGTTGGAGGAATCACATTATAGGGGGTAGGCTTTGAGAGTTCTTAAGACTTAACAGATTTCCAGTCTCTGCTTCCTGTGCCTGCCTTAAGATATAATCACTCTGCTTTCTGCTTCGTCATTATGGACCTTTTGAACCATGAGCTAAGCGCATCCTTATATAAATTGCCCTGTCATGGTGTTTTCCACAGCAACAGAAAAGTAAGTAATACAAATATGAAGGTAGAAAAATTTGTACTATACATTTAAACATTCATTTTCTTCCCTAAGCTACTTGAACAAATTTCAAAGCAAAACAAGTAATGATACTCTTTCTCTAGTAGTCCCCACATCATGCCGTGCTACCACCACATCAACTTAAAGCCTGATCTGAAGTTATGATTCCATGACTAGCCTCCAGGCACAGGAGAAAGTGAACCAGAAAACAGAGGAGATTTATAGCAAGACAGGGCATTTGATCATACTGTACAACATAGAGCTGCATGGGCCACGGTTGGGATTTAGTGCCAGACTAGAAACACCAGGTAGTAAAGGAAGACAGAAAGAAATCTTGATCAATATCAACATTTCTACCATTCCTTCATTCATAACTTTCCTCACCATTCTCCCCAATTCCCACCATGGAAGAGGAAGTCAGCAGAGAACACCAAACATCTGTCCTAAGCAACTGTCCACTTAAAATTTGAGCAGTTACATAATTATTTTTCTTTTTGAAAGAAGAGTAAAACAGGATCTTACAAAGAAGCAAACAGAATTCCAAGAATAATGAAGGAGCTCACAGCACCAGCTCTACAGCAGGCCAAGAGCTCAGTGAAACCAGACAGCGGCTGGAACAAAGACTCCAGGCTATCTCTTAAGATTTAAAGGGGGGCAGGGGCAGATTATGTGATATTGGCATTACTAAGAGGAGCATCAGAGTTCATTAAACAATTGAGGAATTTTAGTAATGTGTGTGTGTGTGTGTGTGTGTGTGTGTGTGTGAAAAAGAAAATCAAGGTACTTACCAACTCTAGAAAAAGCAATGGTCCAGGAATGGCAAAATAAATATACCTACCTCAATTATGTTTAACAATTACATAGTCAGTAAATAATGACCCTAAAGAAAAGCCTATGCCTAAGTGATTTCATTTATGAGTTCTATTAAGCATCGTAGAAAGAACACCAGATCTAAAACAAACCTTAGAAAGAGTAGATGGAAATCTTCTCAGCTGTAGGGAGGATCAGCATAATTCTTACTTGAAAAAAACTGAACTTGGGGCTGGAGAGATGGCTCAGTGGTTAAGAGCACTGACTGCTCTTACAGAGGACCCAGGTTCGATTTCCAGCACTCACATGGTGGCTACAAACCGTCCTTAACTCCAGTTCCAGGGGAATCCGAAGCCCTCTTCTGACCTCCACGGCATAGCATGACACGGGTGCACTCACATCCATGCAGGCAATACACTCGTACACATAAAATAAAAATAATAAATTAAAGAAAAGGAAAAAACTGAATTTAAGTATTGAAAGACTATAAGCCTTTATGAACAGACACTTTATGGAAAGATACAAAAATCCTAAATGCAATAGTACCAATTTTAGGCATTGTGCAATACCTAAAAAAATATAATCCAACCTAAGAGAAGTTTATTTAGAAATATAATTGGTTTAACATTTGAAAAAATAACTGTAACTTATCATATAAAGAATTTACTTTTTACTTATTTACTTAAATATATACTTGCTTGTTTTCTAAGACAAGGTCTTGCTATGTAGCTCCAGCTGGCCTGGAACTTGTCCAAATCCTGCCTCTGCTTCCAAGTGTTGGGATTAAAGGCCTATGCCAGGTAGGAAAGAGCAGTTTTCAATGAACAGTGGTGCCTGAACAATTAGACATCAAAAAGTGAACCTTAACTTTTACTATATACTAAACATAAAATAAGCTTAATAACAAATCCAATCACAAAAGCTAAAACTATAAAATTTCTAGCAGAAAACATAGGAATTCTTTGTGATCCACTTAAAGAATCAATTTGTCAGAACACAAGAAGTTCAACCATAAAAGAAAAAAAAATTGGCCTTCATTAAAATTTTCTCTGAACAGCATCATAAAGAAAACTATTAAAAAGGAGAAAATATTCATAACATTATTTCCTAAAGAATTTTTATCCAGTATATTGTTCTTACAACTGGGTAAGATAACCAATATAAAAAATGGACAAAACTTGAACATGTACTTCCCTCAAAAAGACATAAATGTCAGATAAAACCATGACAAGCAGCTCCTAGGGGTGGGGATGCAGGTCAGTTGTTAGAACACTTACCTAGCATGCATGAGGCCCTGGGTTCGATCCCCAGCACCACATAAACCAGGTGTGGTAATGCACACCTATAATCCTAGCCCTTAGGAGGTAAAAAGCAAGAGGACTAGTAGTTCCTTGGCTACACAGCAAGTTCAAAGCCAGCCTGGGACATGAGACTCTGTCTCAAAAAAGGAAGAAAAGCAGCTCCTTGTTAGTAGGGAAATGTATATTTAAAACACCAACAGATATAGCTACATGTCCACTAAACTGGCTACCATGGAAAAAGACAGATAGTATCAAGATTGGATAGCCGTTTGGAAGAGCCCTTTAAAGTTTCACCTAAGTTCTACATATTGGACTCAGCCTTTACTCCATGCATTTATCCAACAGAATTGAAAACACATAGTCCATAAACAGAACATGGAATTTGTACATAGCAGCTTTATTCATAATAGTTTAGTAAAACTTAAAGACAATCTACACGTTCATCATTACAAATAGCTAAACAAATCGCAGTATAGTCCTATAACAGAATACTAAGAAATAAAAGGGAACATATCACTGACATACATAATAACATGGACCACCTCAATGCTGTGCTAAGCAAAATATGTGAGATGCAAGAGTACATATTCTATTTGTTTGTAACTCCATAAAAGTCTAATCTAATTTATAGCCATAGCAAGGAGACAAGTAGTTGAACAGAGGTGAGCACTGGGGTAGAGGGGAACTAGAGTGTGTAAGAGTTTAGAGACCTTTTAGGTGACAGACACAGGACTACATTTTTATGGCAGTGATAGGTTAAGTGAACATTCACACATTTGTCAAGATTTTTCAAACTTCAAACAAAGCAGCTGCATTTTGGTGTTATCTAAATTATACTTAAGAAAACTGACAGAAGTAGGTAGAGGATATCTTAACTCATTTCACATTCCTTCCTTCCAATGAAATCTAGCCAATTTTGTGGTTTATTACTGTTCCGAGTCAGTAGATCCTTAAATACTGTGAACAAACAGTAAAATAACATTACTCACTTTAATGATATTTCCATGATTAAAAAAGAACAAAAATTAGAAAATAGTTCCTGCATTTGGTTTTTACTAAACTTCATGCATACTTTGAAATGTACACTAATCTTTGTTAGGGATTAAAGGAGTCATAAATTATCTATGTTCCCTCATTGCCTCTGAACCACCTGAGAGACAAATCAGGGACATGAAGACTACACTAGATGACTGCAAATAATGGTCAACCAATACTGAACCTGAATTAAAGAGACTTTCTCCCCAGGCTACGGTCAGTTCTGTAAGCAGGTGTCTCCCCTTTTCAACAAGTTTCACAATGTGGCTTCAACGAGGCATAACAAGCCCAAAACAGAGAGAGAGGGACTAGCATGTCCAGTCCTGCTTCTTAAATGGCTTCTTCTCCTAGGGAGGTAGGAGTGAGATCAGGATTCCAGGGCTAATGGATGTCCTAAGGAGCAAGGTGAAAGGAATCCATCCCTACCTAACCTGCCTTCCCACCAAAGTTACAGTGCATTTCTCAAATTTTGTACCCTGGCAGTACAAAAGAGGAGGTACACACATAGTACCCACTAAGGCCCGGTACATTAGCTAAAGGGCCATCATTGCTCTTCATTCAAAGCAGATACTCCCAGGCATGGTGGCATACACCTTTAATCCCAGCATTCGGGAGACAGAGGAAGGCGGATCTTGGGAGTTCAAAGCCAGCCTGGTCTAAATAATGAATTCCAGGCCAGCTGGGGATACAGGGAGACCCTGTCTCAAAAAATACCTTAAAAAAAAAAAGAGAGAAACAAAGTAGACAAATTTAATCACAAGTAACAAAGGTACATGACTTCAGAGAGAAACGACGTCATTTCAACTTAATGTTTGAAGAGGTGATTTACATATTGTCATATTTCATTGATTCAAAAATTAGTTTCCTAATCCTAAAATGCCACTAATTATAAAATACATCATTTTAAAATCACTTAAAAAAACATTTAATACATGAATTTGAAGATGATAATTATGGGATCATGGTTCCTGTGTCAACTCACAACTCACTGAGATACATGCCATGTCATGAAACCATAGCCCAGAATGTGTGGTACAGAGTCAGTTTTGAAGGGTTTCTGACTCAAGGAAATTAAAGAGCTGATTAATAATTCTCTTACTGCTGGGAAAAGGAGTGAAGGAAGTCTATGAGTCATCATATAATCTGTAAAGTGACAAAGCTGCACTGTTCTGCTACAACCATAAGAACACTATCTTTTCTGAGACAGAACTTTTAGTTTTGCCATACGATACTAACAATTTAAAATAACTACATGCAGGGCCAGAGAGATGGCTCAGCAGTTAAGAGCACTGACTGCTCTTGCAGAGGACCCAGGTTCGATTTCTAGCACCCACATGGCAGCTATGAACCGTCCTTAACTCCAGTTCCGACGCCCTCTTCTGACCTCCGAGGCATTGCACAACACGGATACACACATACATGCAGGCAATACACTCATACACATAAAATAAAAATAGTAAAATATATTTAAAATATCTGCATGCTTAAACCATCATCATCCTGTTTTGTGACTAAGCCCCAGATGCAGTGGATATGAGCTCTATGATGTGTACCTGTCAGAACTTTTCAACGTAGTGTTTATTTAATACTGAAGGTAAAATACTTTGTAATCTAGGAGCCTGTTTACTAGAGAATATTATGAGTTTCAAACTATCAAGTATGGTCTGGACATGTAGTGTTCTAATACGTGTGTGAACCATATAATTTGAAGAGAATAACACAAACTATATTCTATATAATTTGAACATAATATTGTGTCATTTAAGAAAATGTATTAAACATCATAAATTATATCACTGTCAAGAGTATCAGTTTTCCCATATTCATAAAAATGTATTATAACTAATAAGTTTAATTAGCTTTTATAGATCACTACTCACATCCTTGCAAAATAATGGATGTGTTTTTCTCTTTATGCATGGAAAAGTGTTAGTTAAAACAAGCACCTTTGGGAGTCTGAGAAATGAGTCTTCTCTACAACTTCTTCCTTTTCATCCTCGTCCTATGTCTATTTCACATCTTATATTTGGGTAATAAAGAGCCTTGCCCAGATGACCAATGCCAATACAGTAGAAACAAAGTTCCAACAATCTGGTGGCTACATACATGCTGTGCTGGGTCTTGCCTCTTTTGAGGTTAAGGCACAGACTTTAAGCCAAGAACAATCTCCAAATTATAACTTTCTGTCAACATCACAAGCAGTGACTTAATTTAGATAAAGAATTATGAAAAAGTTCTCTTTTCTTAAAATCAGAAGAAACTGAAGGTACATATTTCCAAAGTAGTCACTCCTGGATACCTAGTATTTACTACATACTGAGAGAGAGAGAGAGAGAGAGAGAGAGAGAGAGAGAGAGAGAGAGAGAGAATACAACATACATAAAACTTTCACAAGAAAAAGAAGTCTACCAGTCTAATTTTTCAAAAGCTAATATCAAAAGTACCAGGAAAATCTCTAAATGCAGGGAGAAAAACTATTCACAAATTACACAGTAAACAAATACCCATTACAGAAAACAATAAATCAAATGTTAAGTATGCACTTCCCTAATCATCTAGCTATCCTTTGAGAATATTCCTTGTTAATTAACAAAATAAGATTTTTTTTACTCATTCTAAAACTTGCCTCTCTAGCCAGGGGCTAATTTTTTAATGATATAATCTAGGAGGAAAATATAATAATTTTTAAGGCAACTGCTGATTTCTCCAACTCTGAAAGAAAAAAAAATTAAACATTTATCTAAAACAAATACTTAAAATCATTCGCATGAAAACGTAGACCATTACTTACATGCTCCAACAGTGTAAGAGTCCCTAACACAGAGGGGCTTTCAGCACTAACAGGAAAAAATAATTTTGCACTAATAATATCTTCTTGAGTATCAGAAACAACAGCACCCAACAATTGTACATGATTGTATTACAGTATGTAGAACAAAAACCCTAATTCACAGCAATAGATAGAACTGATGGTTAGTGAATGCAAACGTGACTCTTCATTTGTTGTTTTATTTTCCACTGTTTGTGTTTTGTTTTGTGAGGTCAGGACCTGCAATGTAGCCCAGGCTGGCTTTGAACTTGCAACATTCCTGCCTTAGCAGTGCTGGAACTACGGCATTTGCTACATACCAGACACTAAACTGCTTCTTTAACATAGCCTCCCACTCATAGGACTGAACTATAAATCACATTCCAGTTTCTGTATGTTTTTGCTTAAGTTAGTCACACTCTTTTAAATTGTAATTTTTCATTTCACTGAATAGCTTTAAAAAAGTTATTTAGAAAAATAATTCTAAATCATCAGCTGGAAAATTACAAGCAAGAAATGTTAGCAGGCGTGGCAGCTCATACTACACTCCAGTTTAACCACAGCACTCCAGTAACCCAGCCTTGAGTTTGAGGCCAGCCTGGGCTAGAGAGGGAGAGTTTCTCTCACAAAAAGAAAAATAAGTGTTTTCAAGATTCTTTGACATCTGAAACTAAGAAAAAAAAAAGTCTGAAGACACAGCTCAGGAGCAGGGTGCTTGCCTATGCTGGAGGCCTTAGGTACCCCCCACCCCCCACCCCCCTGTAAAAAGGCAGAGATTCTAGGTTGACTGGGATAATAGTATAATAGCACAGTTTGCTGACACATATGCAAATGCAGTTCACCTTTACAAACGACTGACTTGAAGTAGAAATTATTCCATCTTCACAATAAAATGAAGCCCTCACTGCGACATGTATCAGTATTTCACACATTAGCCAATGCTCAAGAAGACATCTAGCGCTGTTATGTGAAAGTCAAAACAGAAGTACAAGTTAGAATGCAAAGTAACTTCAAAAAATGTTGAGGATAGACACACTTGCATACATTTTTAGCCATACGTTCAAAGGTTTCACATATAACCAAATTATATTTTTGAACAAAATGAATGTCAGAAATATTGAAACTGAAAATTCACTTTAGTGAAGCTAGAAAAATGGAAGAATAAACAGTATCCACAAATAAATTTCTAGGAGGGAAAGAAATCACACACTTCCTTTATCATAAAACAAACGTCAGCAAATCAACATTTTAATAACACTGGTTATAAAGTTACTCACTACTCAAGAACACACTTTTCAAGTTGTGTCTTTAAAATTTATTCACTCTTATAGTCGAATTAAACATTTATCAATCAAAACACATTTGACTTAAGATTCTAAAATACAAATCAAAACTTATGAAAACAGTCCAAACACTACAGAATAATTCTACCACTTAATTTTTATATGCTTCATCTGAAAAACATTTTACAAACAGGAGTTTTGTCCTCTTTACCCAGAGTAAATGTCCCTATGTCATCTAACCGCCCCCCAAAAAACTTCAAACACATCTCTGTTTATGCTTCATCGGGCTTTGATAAAGACAGAGCCATCTGGTGGGGTGGTACCCTCTTCCTTCTCCGTCACAGTCTCTACAGTCCCAGAAGCTGACACAATAACCATTGTTTTATTTGCTGACACTGACTTCTGTTTTTCTGCAATAGCTGCACAAACAGCAACAATTTCATCACTTTCAAAGTCATAGTCAGGGATGGACTTTGGCGAAATGTGTGTTCCTTCAGGTGAGGCTTCACGTTTTTCAACACTCTGTGCTACCTTCTGTTGCTCCAGGAGCGTTCTTGCCCAAGAAAGGTCTTCTTTCCATATTTCAGGGTTCATTGGATAGATGTGGAGGGCTACTTGAAAACTTCGAATTGCCTGGAAAAAATGTTAAGAGTTTAATTTGGCTTATTTCTAAAATTCATCACGTTAGATACAATCACATACAAAGGAGTGGGGGGGGGTTGGATATACACATCCATATATGTACATTCTAATATACTAATTTATTAAAACACACAGGATTGACTTAAGTCTCTGTCATAATTACTAGATGATTATGGGGGGGGTTATACAGTGTAAGAAAAAGAGACTAAGAAAATGCTGATGGACTTAAAGCTATTAAAATAGGGCCATTGATACTAGATTTGATAACATTAAACAGACCATATACTATGACCACATGGGATTAATCCCTAGGATGCTAGTCTGATGCTTCAACATAGGACAATTAATATAATATGCCACACAATATAAGACAAAAATAATGGGATTTGTCATGGTAAATGCAAAAAAAAAAAAAATGTGTTACAAAATTCAGCACTTTTTCATGATAGGAAGTTAATCTAGGTACAAATGGAAATAAAAGCCAAACATGGAAAGCCACAAACCAACATCATACTCAACAGTGAAAAACTGAAATATTTTTTGGGAGATGGGAAGATCAGGAATGAGGCATTAGGCAGACTCTTCCATTTTTATTCACAACTGTACTTTAAGTCCTAGCCAGAGAATAGGAAAGAAAAGGAAATATAAATCACTCAAACAGAGAAGTAAAACTGTCCCTATTTGCACATGACAGAACCTTATTCATAAAATCCCCAGAGACTCGATAAAAAGACTATCAGAACTGTCAGGGGCAGGGGCCAGTCCCTCAGTCCCAGCTAGTCAGGAGGCTGAAGCAGCAAGATCACTTGAGCTAAGGAGATTAAGGCAGCCTGAGCAAAATAGTCTCAATTCAGTTCTTTTTTTTTTTTTTTTTTTTTTTTTAATTTTTAAAACAAACCCTGTAGCTGGAGAGATCACAGACCCCAGAGGAGAACTGCTGTTTCCCTAAACCAATATAATTTCTAAATGTATTCTAAATATTTATCCTAATACCTACAGGTTAGTATAGCTCTCACCCCTCATCAAAGAAGCTTTTCTATACAACAGATGGAGATTATAACAGAGATCCACAATTCTGTAATGCAGAGAATAAGTGACTATGGAGTGCCCAGCCCCAAATGATACATCTAAAATGCTTGGGGAACATCAAGGAAGAAGAGGCAGAAAGACTGTAATATCCTAAGGACCAGGATGCCTGCTGTTGGACAATGTTTTCCAGACAAGAAAGTTGTACCCATGAAATCTCAACAGTATGGTTGCCTAAGCAAGACCCACATAATGACAACACCAGTTAATAAGCCAATGTGGATAGGTAAAATTTCACAAGGTCTTACCTCTAGATGAAGAGCTATAGGCAACTGATGGCTGCTGAGAGGGAAAATCAATTTTCTCCAGAAAGAGCTCCCTGATTGGTTATCTAATCCCAAGGGGTCAGTCCTGAACAGGTGTACATACTAGCGCCACTAAATGGACTAGGTAGATTGCTTATATTTTATACACACACACACACACACACACACACACACACACACACACACACACACACGTATATGTGTAACAATAACAATAATAATTAAAGAACGGGTCAGGAAATTGAGAGGGAGTCTGGCTGAACAGGGGAGAGAGACAAGTGGAAATGATGTAAATATAGTACTCATATATGAAAGTCTCAAAAAATTAATTAAAAATGAGTAAGAACAAGCAAAGAAAACCTATTAGAACTAATAAATTGTATTAGAATAAACCTATTAGAACATTAAATCATAATATACAAAATCAATATAGAAAACTCAGTTGCATTTCTATGTAATAACTATGAAAACTAGGGAAGATGATCTCATCTACAATACCAAATAAAATAATAAAATCTTAGGAATAAACTTAACTAAGGAAGAGAAAGATTTATACCCTGAAAGAAATCAAAGAAGGCAAAAACAAATGGAGAAATACCTCATGCTAATGGATTGGAAAATTGAATGCCATTAAAATGTTTATGCTACACAGGGCAAAACTACAGGTTCAGTGTAATATCTATCAAAGTCCCAACAGCATTTTTTTTAATCTTGCTATGTGGACCAGGCTGGCCTCAAACTCAGAGATCCACCTGCCTCTGCCTGCTGGGATTAAAGGAGTGTGCCACCATGCCCAGGCCCAGTGGCATTTTTATAGAAATAGAAAATAAAATTCTAAAATGCATGAGACCACAAAAGACTTCAGTCAAACCAATCTTGAGAAAGGACAAAGCTGGAAGCATCTACTTCCTGATTGCAAGATGTGTTACAAAGCTATCATAAACAAAATAATATGGCACTACTGGTGCCAAACTGATCAAATAATCCAAATAAAATTTCTAGTAAAAGATTTGTCCATATACAATAGTAATGAGACTGGAAAAATCGGGAACATATCAACAAGTAAGATCGATATGTAGCTGGGCATGGTGGTGCATGCCTTTAATCCCAGCACTCAGGAGGCAGAGGCAGGAGGATCTCTGTGAGTTCAAGGCCAGCCTGGTCTATATAGTGACTTCTAGGCCAGCTGGGGCTACAGGGAGACCCTGTCTCAAAAAAATAAAAAAAAATTAAAAAAAAAAAGATCAATAATGTGGAGTGCATCACATATCTCCACAAAGAAAATAAAGAGCTGACAGTTGAGGCATGCCACACTGAAAAGGCAGTCCCAGCTACTTTCGGTAGCAGGGTCAAAGGGCCACAGAGCTAAGAGAATCATCATTCCTAAAACACTACCTGCTAGCAATCCCTTGCTTCTCCTAATCTCCTTTCCCTTCCAACTTCTCCAGGATGTATCTCTACCATTTCTTTCTTGGCAACCCCATTCTTTCATAGTTTTTACTGCTAAACCATTGTCTTCCTCTTGCATCCTCTCTCTTACTACATGAGAATTCCCTCCCTCATTTGCTCTTGTTCTGCTTCCTCACTTTCCCATTCCTCTGTATATATTTATTTCCTGTGTTTTCTAGTGTACACATCCAATTCTCAAAAATTTAAATAAATTTTACTGGAGACCTAACCAATTCTTGGCATTTAATCTTAACTATAATTTCTATTTATGTATTTTCTTATATTTTTGTATATATATGCATTCATAAGAATTGTTTAAGATGCGGGCCTGGAGAGATGGCTCAGTTAAGAGCACTGGCTGCTCTTGCAGAGGACCAGGGTTCGATTCCCAGCACCCACATGGCAGCTAACAAAACTGTCTATAATTCCAGTTCCACGGGATCTGACACCCTCTTCTGACCTCCATGGGCATTACAGGAGGTGTGTACACCTACCTATATGAAGGGAATACACACATACCCAAAAAGTAACAATAACTAAAAATTTAAAAAAATAATTAAGATACTGAGAAATTGTTTACTTTCACTTTTTCATAGTGTCAATTCATTACATTTTCTTTTTTAAAATTTATATTTATTTTATGTGTATGAGTGCTATGCCAGCATGTGTGTAAGTACACCTGTATCATGCAGTACCCACGGAGGACAGAAGAGGGTGGTGCTGGATCCCCTGGAACTGGAGTTATGGAAGTTGTTAGCAACCACATGGGTGCTGGGATTCGAACCTGGGTCTTCTGCAAGAACAGCTAGTGCTCTTAACCACTGAGCCATCTCTCCAGCCCCTCATTACATTTTCTGTAGTTTTTCTGTAACCATTCCAGTAGCAAGAGAATTGCTTACGTCTACATAAAAATTACACATTTACATTTTTCCAAGTTCTAAGCATTACATTTAAATGGAGGAAAAATAAAACATTCTATTCCTTCAGAACTTTTTGTTGTAATTTTGTTTTTCCTTTTATGTTGTTGACTTTTATTTGAGACAGGGTCTCACTATAAAGCCTTGGCCAGCCTCAAACCCATGGCAATCCTCCTGCCTTAACTTTGTACTGTGATATACATATGTGTCCACATCACAGTTATGAACCACTATGTCTACCAAATATTTCATAATGTTAATGGACAGAATCACACTTATAAAAAAGTTGAATGGTCTTACTAATAAAAACTACAACTACACAATTACTTTATTCTTACCAGGTGCTTCAAAGTATCTTGGCTGTCTCACCAGCAGTTTATTTTCTCCATAAAGGACTATTATTGTGGGGGAGTTTTTTAATATTTATTTATGGGGGGGGGCATGTGTGCCATAGCCTCTTTGTGCATACATGTAGAGATTACAGAATAACTTATAAGAGTTGCTTCTCCTACCATGTGGGTCACAGGAATTGGAGTCAAGTGCACAGGCTTGACAATCTCACCTATTCACTGAGCCATCTTGCCAGCACCCAAAGAAAATTACTGTTAAACTTTGTATACTAGAGATTTTTTTTCTTTCTCTGACACAACTCTCACTAGAGAAGTTTCCTTATGCAACAGAAGGTGATTAACACAGAAACCCAGATCTGGTCAACATGCAAAGAACAAGAGACTGTAGAGTATCTATCCCTGAATAGGACACCTATATCAAACTTCTGCCTCCCGCTGTGGGATCATTGCTGAAGAGGGGGAGGAAATACTGTAAGAGCCAGAGGAGATAGATGACCACAAGGAAACAGAGTTTTCCAACCAGCTGGTCAGTTACTCATATGAACCCACAGCAATGGTGACAAAATGCATAGTCCTATGCAAGCTCAAACCAGAAAAAAAAAAAAAAAATCCCAGCACAGACATAAGGAAGTAGGTAAGAAACTCAAACCTCACCTAAAAAAATTGTGGCAACAGATGGCTGCTTGGGGGAAAGGGGGCAGAGACAGGTTTTCTGAAGTATAGGACTCTTGGTAGGTTAACCAGGCTGCAGTGGATGGACCCACACTGAAAAACATTTGGAAATACAAATTATACTCTATAGGCCTTATTACATAGATATTATAGAGTACATTAAATTGGGCAGTGGGTAATAAGGAAAAATGTAACTAGGGGAAGGGCTCTAAACACCACCAAATTATATTTTATGAAAATCAAAGAAATTC